TTTTTTTACTTTTTTTTACTTTTATCCTCTGCGCCACTGATCGGCTTGTTAGCCGCTTGGGCGATCGGTCACGACTCTTTTCCTTTATATTCTTCACCAAAAGGTCGGCTCGCTAGCCGCCCGGGCGATCGGTCACGTCTCTGTCACGCACTGTTGGCAAATACTGGGCATGCACCGGCTCCTGAATGTACCTGAACCCGCTCCAGTGTTGGTCAAGTCTTCTCTTGAAAGAGCTCACACTCGGTGCCGTCACAACACTTTCTGGTAGATTGTTCCAAGAGTTTACAACCCTCACTCCGTAAAAGTTTGCCCTCACGGTTTTCCGGACTTGCAGCTTCTTCAATCTTGAGCTGTGACCCCTTGTGGGGCGAGCGTCCGCCAGCTCCAAGTAAGGACACTCAACTGAGTAGTGCCCCCTGAGATGCTTATAAACCTCAACTAGGTCCCCCCTTGCCCGTCTGTAGTATAAGCTAGGCAAGTTCAGGCGCTCCAATCTCGCAGGGTAGCTGAGATGCCGAAGTGCAGGCACCAGCTTGGTGGCCCTCCTTTGAACATTTTCAACCAACTGACAGTCCCTAGCATATCTCGGGGACCAGATGGGGTGACAGTACTCCAGATGGGAAGCACTTCACTCCTGAAGATCGTCACGAGGGACGGACCGTCTAGATATCTGAACGACCTTCTTATAAGACCCAATAATTTATTTGCCTGATTTACCTTCTTCTCACAATGGCCCGAGAACTTCAGCTCATTGTCAACATACACACCTAGGTCCTTCTCACACACAGTCTCAACTAGTACATTTTCTTCATCCCGTTGGGACATATGGTACGCCTCCTTACCATTGGTACGCCCCAGGTGCATCCTCTTACACTTCGTGACATTGAATCTCAGCAGCCATTCCTTCGACCATTCCTGGAGCCCACAGAGGTCCTTCTGCAGCTCTTCACAGTCCGCTTGGTTCTTAATTTCCCGAAATAACTTGGCGTCATCGGCAAACATTTGTATGGAGGAGTGTACAACGTCAGGCATATCATTTATGAAACAAACAAACAACAGCGGGCCCAATACACTACCCTGCGGTACCCCACTTGTTACAGGTACAGATGACGATTTCGTGCCATTAATCACCACACATTGCTTGCGGTCATGTAGAAAGTCTTCTATCCACGCTAGGACATTTTCCCGAATTCCGTACCCTTCCAGTTTGATTTTCAGCCTTTCGTGGGGTACACTGTCGAAAGCCTTGGCAAAATCTAGGTAAATATTGTCGATATTACCACCCCGTTCTAGAATATGGTCCAAATATCCAATACCTTGAGCAATTGTGTTACTATAACTACCTGATGATAGTTTATTATTACTTAGTGTTACTATAACTACCTGATGATAGTTTATTATTACCTAGTGTTACTATAACTACCTGATGATAGTTTATTATTACCTAGTGTTACTATAACTACCTAATGATAGTTTATTATTACCTAGTGTTACTAATAACTACCTAATGATAGTTTATTATTACCTAGTGTTACTAATAACTACCTAATGATAGTTTATTATTACTTAGTGTTACTATAACTACCTGATGATAGTTTATTATTACTTAGTGTTACTAATAACTACCTGATGATAGTTTATTATTACCTAGTGTTACTATAACTACCTGATGATAGTTTATTATTACCTAGTGTTACTATAACTACCTGATGATAGTTTATTATTACCTAGTGTTACTATAACTACCTGATAATAGTTTATTATTACTTAGTGTTACTATAACTACCTAATGATAGTTTATTATTACCTATTGTTACTATAACTACCTGATGATAGTTTATTATTACCTAGTGTTACTAATAACTACCTGATGATAGTTTATTATTACCTAGTGTTACTAATAACTACCTAATGATAGTTTATTATTACCTAGTGTTACTAATAACTACCTAATGATAGTTTATTATTACCTAGTGTTACTAATAACTACCCGATGATAGTTTATTATTACTTAGTGTTACTATAACTACCTAATGATAGTTTATTATTACTTAGTGTTACTATAACTACCTGATGATAGTTTATTATTACTTAGTGTTACTATAACTACCTGATAATAGTTTCTTATTACTTAGTGTTACTATAACTACCTGATAATAGTTTATTATTACTTAGTGTTACTATAACTACCTGAAAATAGTTTCTTATTACTTAGTGTTACTATAACTACCTGATGATAGTTTATTATTACCTAGTGTTACTAATAACTACCTGATGATAGTTTATTATTACCTAGTGTTACTATAACTACCTGATGATAGTTTATTATTACCTAGTGTTACTATAACTACCTAATGATAGTTTATTATTACTTAGTGTTACTATAACTACCTGATAATAGTTTCTTATTACTTAGTGTTACTATAACTACCTGATAATAGTTTATTATTACTTAGTGTTACTAATAACTACCTAATGATAGTTTATTATTACTTAGTGTTACTATAACTACCTGATGATAGTTTATTATTACCTAGTGTTACTAATAACTACCTAATGATAGTTTATTATTACTTAGTGTTACTATAACTACCTGATGATAGTTTATTATTACTTAGTGTTACTATAACTACCTGATAATAGTTTCTTATTACTTAGTGTTACTATAACTACCTGATAATAGTTTATTATTACTTAGTGTTACTATAACTACCTGAAAATAGTTTCTTATTACTTAGTGTTACTATAACTACAAATGATAGTTTATTATTACTTAGTGTTCAGTTTATAATACAGTAAGAAGTAGATGTAATACAATTATAAAAAGGTGTATCAGTAGCAGAGTAAAGTTTTTTTTTCAGATAATATTAAGTATATAATAATAACTGTTTAAACTATGTGATGTTAGTTTATAATTATTATATTAGGTGAAGTTGAGTTGCAAGATGTTCGTGGTAAGTTATTAACAGTGTTCATCGCCTCACTTGTAAACATTAAGTCGACTAAAATGTGTTACTTAAAATAAAAACTTGGAGGATTTAATACTTAACTACGTCATTAACACTGTGAGTTGTTTATTAAATTATGTATGACTTATATATACAGTTTATGGTAAAGGTGTAGATAACGGCTACCACCAGAAGGAGTTTGTTGAATTGGTTGGAATTTAGTCTACAAAAATAATACTGTATGATATTAAACCTGACCTAACATACCCATAGTTGGGTATGTTAGGTCAGGTTTTATTAGGTTCTACACAATAATATCATGATATTAAACCTGACCTAACATACCCATAGTTGGGTATGTTAGGTCAGGTTTTATTAGGTTCTGCACAATAATATGATATTAAACCTGACCTAACATACCCAATTATGGGTATGTTAGGTCAGGTTTTATTAGGCTCTGCACAATAATATCATGATATTAAACCTGACCTAACATACCCATAGTTGGGTATGTTAGGTCAAGTTTTATTAGGTTCTACACAATAATGTTATGATATTAAACCTGACCTAATTTGCTTCATGTTACTAAATCTCAAGAGGTTATTTCCTCCTCTGAATATTGATGTGGTACATTTTTCTTGCTTATGTCAGAGATGTTTTTATATTGAGTCAACTAACTTCCTCTAGAGAGGATGTACTTTTATCATCCAAAGTTTCAGTGCCAGGAGAGTTGTTCCTCACTTATGATGACATCTTCTGTTTAGGGGGAGGAATGAGCTCAGGTGTCTGGAAAGAAAGTCACAATTGGGGTTAGAAAAAGTCAGGGATATAAACACATCTTTTAAACAGCCTAAATAATGTTAAGTTAGGTTAAGGTTTGTGACTTTTTTCCTACATTCTGGGATGATGACACATCATGGAGAACCAGATCATTGTGTTCACTCAGTAAAGGTTTATTGATACCTCCAAGTGCTGTACCCAGGTCCACACTGACACTTCCCTGGCCGAACCTCCATCTAATGCAGGGGTCACCAAACTACGGCCCGCGGGCCGGACCCGGCCCGCGACGTCAGTTCATCAGTCCCGCCGACGGTACTTGAATTTGCTTGATAAAATGTATGGAACACGAGACGTTGTGATAGAATTTAAATTTAAATATTATGTTTAGAATACTAGGAGATCTTCACGCGTGCGGAGACCTCCTGACTGCTATGTGCCTTAAATTTACTATTTTAAATTTTAAATTATTGTATCCAGATTTTCTTGTTTATTGTAATGTTTGCTTATTTCGCGCCATCCCAAGTCCTTCCCCGGCTCGTGGTAGCTCCGCCTACGATCTGACGTTACCATGGTTTTTCGTCTTTTTTCCCAGAGCTTTCGTTCTGGCTTGCAAGTATTGAACAGAATGATTATGCGGCCCGCGCTCGTCATTCTTTCAGTTATCCGGCCCACTGTGAAAAAAGTTTGGTGACCCCTGATCTAATGTATGAACGTTTACAAGGTGAAAACAGCACTTTGAAGTATGTGGGTGATGTGTAATGGTATTTTAACTGGTATGGTTGTTTTAATACATAGAATGCAAATCTGTTGAGGAAGTACACTTCAAATATATACATGGAACAGATGACAGCTGTTTTGGTATGATACTAATTGCTTTAATTAAGTTTTGAACTTTTAAGTGGCAGGTCTTGATGTAAACACTTCTTGGCATTTTCTGTTTTATTGCTGAGAGGTTTATATGCAGCTATAATCTGAGAGAATATATTGTGAATAATCTCCAGGGAAGTGTTGTGAATATCACTTCTATTAAGTGTGAACTTTCCTGTCTATTGGTATGGAGAGAACTGCCCCTCTCTGGGGTGTGAGAGAGTGGTAGCGAGCGAGCATTGTTTACTGAATCCACTGACCCTGGCTTGAGCCCAGCGATAGATGCAACCTCTGTGATCTAGTCATAAACAATATGGTGAATCACTTGTTGAATAATTTAATGAAATACTTGGAGTTAGGGGTATATTTATATTAAGCAAAGTGCTGTTACAATTTTGTAAACCAACCAAACCTGTCTTAACCTATTGTGAAGACCGTGTATTGTAATGCTGTACTGTACTACCTTTTTTGTAGATATTAGTAATTAATAAGGACTGAGTCACATAGGTAATGCAGTTAATATTATTCTTTATAAGTAAGAATTATTTATTTGCTACATTGTACAGAAATTTATAACAATCTGATGTTGTGACTTCACTCTCCCTTCACTTGCTGAACAGGGGCCAGATACTCAAAAACATTTATGGGACTGTTGTTGCCATAATAAGAGGCTTTGAGTGTTTGTATTTGTCGCAGTTTGGAAGAGACGCATCTTTTGTCTTCTTACAAATTATAAAGTATTTTTTACCAAAACAGAAGGTTTATATTGTTCACACTTAGGGTAAAAATATGTTTTATGACTGAGTAAACTTGCAGATAGAACTTATTAATGTTGTATAGCCAGAAATATCCCTCGGTAATGAAAGCCAAATATGAGGTCAAGTGAACATTCCTGCCAAGACTTCGCCTTGTTTTTCTAATATGCAACCAATAGCCTCAGCCTATTTTCTATGTATATGGCTTATGATAACATGAAAGGCTATAAATTTCCATAGGCTAGCCAAAATTAAATATATTAGGCATAAAATATGGATTGCAATTACCTTGATTAATGGGGGCCTATATAACTTGTGGGGTATGAGATGTTTGGTTCACACTCAGGATGGAATGGAGAAAGGAAACTCACAATGTGCTCTCTATATACATGTTGTATTGGATGTACAATGCAGCTTGGTGCTGGGAAGGCAGCATGGTTACAAGCGTGATGTAGAGAGAGCTGGTTGGTGAGGACGCTCAGAGAAGGACAGCTTGTGGGTCGCCATGCTCGCCAGCGGGAGCGAGGACCGCCAGGCAGGTGGAGGAGGAGGTGTTGCTGGCTGCAGCTGTAGGTAGAAAGAGAGAGATCACCACGAGGTCAGGTCTTAAATAGCGGGGGTAGGCGTGGCTTAGCAGTTGACCCCCGCTCCGTGGTGTATGGCGGTGCTGGTTGACCTACTGTAGACCACGAGGCATACACTGGGGAATTGGTGGGGTTGGCTAGGCAGCGACAAACAGCGTTTGTAGGGGAGAATTCCACTACAATACTCCCCCTTCCCTCCAGGTGGTGTAGGAGACTTGTTGTCTGCAGAGTTGCTTAGCACATGTGAGGCAGAACGGGCGGTGCATGCCTCATGTGAGACAACGGCGATGGCGTGGATGAGCCAGTCGCTGGGGAGAACTGTCTAGATACACAATATCTGTGGGAGAAGAGAGCGAGAATAAGGGTGTGTGGAGGCGATGAATGTTTTTCTTCCCTCACGGCAGGTACAGAGTCGTCAGATGCGCCTGCTGGGGTGTGTGGGCCTGGGTCAGGAGCAGGGGCTGCGTCAGCAGAAGCGGATGAGGGCACGTGACAGCAGCTGGGTCCACGACAGCAGCAGGGTGCAGGACATTAGCAGGGAGTACCTGAGGGAGAAAAGAGGGGTGTGTGGGTCCGCACTCAGGAACAGAGGCCGCATCAGGGGCGGCAGGGGTTACTGCTGGGCCGGGGTCGGCGTCTGAGGCAGGACGGGTGTGCTGGGGTCGGAAGAGGAGCTACTGTCTGCTTAGAGTAGCAGAGCTGCTCTAGGGTGTCTGACCTGCGGTGTAGAAACAGTAGTTGTAGAGTCGATGAGAGCTGCTTCTGTGTGGATAATCCAGTCTTCCATGTTGCTTGAAGACTGGGAGCGTGATCAGTTTCTCCCCCATCCTGTGTGAGTGCGAATCTCCGGGAGTCACCATTTGTGAGGTATGAGATTGTTTGGTGTTCACTCAGGATGGGTTGGAGAAAGGAAACTCACAATGTGCTCTCTATATACATGTTGTATTGGATGTACAATGCAGCTTGGTGCTGGGAAGGCAGCATGGTTACAAGCGTGATGTAGAGAGAGCTGGTTGGTGAGGACGCTCAGAGAAGGACAGCTTGTGGGTCGCCATGCTCGCCAGCGGGAGCGAGGACCGCCAGGCAGGCGGAGGAGGAGGTGTTGCTGGCTGCGGCTGTAGGTAGAAAGAGAGAGATCACCACGAGGTCAGGTCTTAAATAGCGGGGGTAGGCGTGGCTTAGCAGTTGACCCCCGCTCCGTGGTGTATGGCGGCGCTGGTTGACCTACTGTAGACCACGAGGCATACACTGGGGAATTGGTGGGGTCGGCTAGGCAGCGACAAACAGCGTTTGTAGGGGAGAATTCCACTACAAACTGCTTTTTCAGTCTTTGGCCAATTAAAGGTTAAACGTGGGGCCTACTTAATTTAGTTAGAACATGATGAATATTTAAATAAGAAATTATACCAATAGATTATAGGTTTGGTGTGGTTTGGTTATGTTATGGTATGTTAGGTTAGAGAATGTGTACATGTTTTTTTTTGGTGTGTGTCAGGCTGTCAGTGAGACACTTTGTCTAGCAACTACCTTAGGCCTAGTTCCAGACTTTTCATGAACAGTATCATAGGGTAGAGTATTAATTTAAGAAAATTTACGGCTAATCCGATATATTTTCATGTTTTAAATTGTTGTTTTTTGTATGAACTTGAAGACAAATTCAGACCAAATGACCCAAACATTGAAAGGAAAACACCATGTTCTAGGCTAAGTGAGTAATTTAAGAGAAGTGATTTGTCATTTAGGTTAGGCAAGGTTATACTATCATTAACCAATTAATTTGAAATTGCCCAGAATAAGGCTATCTTATTATAGCTTATATGTCTTGTCATAGGCCAACATTAGGCCCGTGGTTATTTACCCAACTTCTATTATGGGTAAAACACCCAATACTGTGTTATTGTAGGGTTACGTGATGTTGTCTCACACTCAGGATGGGTTGGAGAAAGGAAACTCTTAATGGTGGTTTTCTTATATAAAATATATTATATACAAAACAGTCTGGTGCTGGGAAGTTGCTGCTTGGAAGAGGAGTTGCTGCATGGTCGAGTAACCACTACAAGATCTCGGTTAGCCGGAACAATTGGTAAAGAGCACTTCCGTGAATGAGAGTTTTCCCGTTAACGAGACGATTATCTCAAATCAAGAAAATATCCCTCGTCCCTCGAATTTTTATGGTAATGGAAGAATGTTCTCGGTAGTTCCTGAAATTGCCCATTACATCATCTCTCGAACCCAGAAATGTATCCCCCATTTCCGGAATTTTCTCGGTTATCTGGGAAGCTTTTCTCATAATTTTCAGGAAAATGTGCCCCTTTGAAAATCATTACCTAAGCCATAAGTTTCCTGCAAAATCATGCTTTGGGAATTAATTACGGCTTTCAGAAAGTTCCGGGTTTCAGGGATTCCGGCTAACGGAGATATTACTAACTAAGAAAATTAACACAGGACAAAAGACTCTGGCTCCTGAGAATGCTGCTGTTCCTACCAGAAAGCAGTTTCAAATGCGAGTATGTGACAGACAAGAGGCAAGAGGATATCTTTTAAATGCTTTTAACACTCTTATTTACTTTCATACTGAACAATTTTATTCGTTTTTAAATGAGTACAGAGATTTTAACACACTGTGCATTTTTAAGTATTTTAACCCTAATGCCAGGCAAAACCTTAAGGCCGTAATTTTTTTTCTTAGGCATAACCCTTCTTTTGTAGGCCTAATGATAAGACGTTGAATAAGTTAGTATCAACATAAAAACACTACTGTTTAATAATTATTTTTTATTGCAGTATAGAGGTAATGCCAATAAAGCATACATTGAATTAACTTTTATTTTCAATATACTGTACCTAATAAAATAAACTTTATAGAAAATACAGAAAATAAATGGCTTTCTTTTACCTTCATAAGATAAACATTTTATATAGGAAGATAAAATATGAACTATATCCTTAAGCAAATTTGATTCCAATACAGTATACAGTTAACCCTCACTTTACGCGGTTAATGTAACCCGGAGGGTACCGCGGAAAGTGAGAAACGCGTAAAGTGAATAACATAACATATGGGATTAATTGAAATGGAGTCCGGGCCGATCCCCAAACTCCACTTTTTGACGACACATAACTATGTTGTAGTAAAAATATTATCTTAACTTTATGATGGTATGCACACACAATTAATAATTAAGAGAAATATCAATAATATTAGGTTTTTTAACACTTACATTAGTAGAAAAAATGGCTGGGCACACGGAGATGGGCGGTTGGCTCCGAGGCAGAGGGCAGATTATTGGCCCTCACCTGTGTCACTTGTATCAATTGTATCACTATCCACCACAGAGGCTTGCAGGGCCTCTTTGTCAAACTCCCCAAAGTCCATATAAGTCCATATCCTCACCATAATTATCACTATCACTGACTTGGGCCGGCTGTGGTGGGTGGCGGGTGAAGAACTGGTAATGTTTTGATGACTGGGCGACCTTGTGCGCACCATGTTCGCGCAGCTTACACAACATGGCGGATGGCGGGAGGTTTGGATCCAAAAATGGCGCGGCTCGCCAGCCGCTCTCCGCGTAAAGGGGTACACGCACCGCGGAATGTGAGCATCCTGGGTTCCGGCAGGGCACCGCGTAAACGTGGAAACGCGGAATGTGGGACCGCGTAAAGTGAGGGTTAACTGTACTTTTAATACTACTAAATACCAAAGGCACTAAAGTTTGTGAAAACAAAAATCATTATATAAAACATATTTGAGAAATTGAAACAATAAAAAATATTGCCACTGTTTGCTTCTTAAACTGCACAATTTGACGTGGGTCACCACATCGTTGTGAAAAATTAATACAACTACGTACTGTTAATTGTTGCCATTTTTAAGATTTAAAAATGGAATACAGTATAATTTTCATATGTCTAGAATTACTGAAGGAACTCTCATGACTAGAATGTACCTGCATCAATACCCGTATATTAAAAGAAACTTATAACCAAATACTGTACTACTATAAGTAATAAAGAAAACAAATAGCAAACTCTTGGCTTGTTAAGCTATACAATTTAGCATGAGACAGCACATCCTTATGAAAGAACCAATGCAACAACTTGCTCTTTGGAGAATAATGTGTGCTAAATAGCAGTGATTACAGTAGGCTGTTGGTGAATTTGCACCATTATTTCTGTTTCAACCTACTTGAATCATACATTAAAAAAATACAAATTAATTAATAAAACAGGTTGAACTAGAAATTAACTACGTATTACAAAATAAAGGAACCTTTAAAAAATAAAAATAAGTACATGAGTCTGTATGAACTTTTACCCAAAGCCTGGGTAAACATTATCCGTAGTAGCACTGCAACACATGTTATTAGTTAACAAGTGTGTATATCCTCAGTCAGCAAGATAGTTAGAGAATCCTCTTTCTCTTGAACGGTCCTAAACATAGATTACTCGATGGAATGAATAGCCGTAAACCTAGCTCCTGAGGGTCCTGGGGTTTGTTCTCTTTCTTCTTCTGGAAAGAAGTGTATAATAGTTTGATTGAAGTCTATGTTAAGGGTATAATTAAAATATATAAATATATAAAAAAATTTAGAAAAAAATGGTCTGAAAAATAGTGTTGACCATCTAAAAATATTTGTATAAAATAATTTTATATGTAAATATAAACTAAGCTAAACATAGTTACAATATTATAGATTGATTTAATTATAATATACGACATTTAGTTCCAGGCGTTAAATTTCTTATATTTGCTCTTCTCAATTTTTTCCATTAACATACGAGTTATAACAACATTTAATATCTAACTTAGGGAAGCAATACGCCAGCTATAAATTTAACTAACTTAATAATGTTGCTTATTTTTAAAAAAATATGCAAAAAAATAAGTATACTGTATTTCAAAAGTAAGATAATAGTGAAAAAATAGTACCAAAATTATTTTTGGAAATAAAAACAAGGACAGAAAAGAACAAAATATATCAGGGGGTTGGAAAAGTATGTTGAGTGAATTACCATCAATAAGTTCCTCACTTTCCAAAATCGCTGGAATCCCATGTGTAAAGGCTGGATCTAAGAGTTGAAGAACTGCTTCGTCAATTGCAGTGTTTGTACAGGGTATTTTCAATTTGGGGGCAGCCTCCTTCAAGAGAAAAAAACAATAAAAACTTTCTTACTGTGAGCTGTGGTTACATACACTGTACACAACTATGTTATATATACACTAGTACTATGTTAGAAAGGAATCTATTGAAATAGTTCCAAACATTATAACCTAACCTATCATTGTAGCTGTAGTCCCCAAAATTCTCCTGTATCTTTGTCAAAAGTTAATTAGATTTACTGTAACAATCAATAAATGGTAAAATAAGTCAAAAATAATAATAGCAGCCAGAATTTTTCAACCTGTATTAGTTGTAAATGCATAAGATAGAACATCATTGCCTATAAGCCTAACAAAGTAAGATTTGCATATTAATGTATACCAAATATGAATTTAAATCATTTGATGACTCAAAATTAACGACATAAAAAAAACATGAGGAATTCTATAGTAAGCTACATATTATCACCTTCATTACCGTCAAAAATAACGTAATTACTAATATGTAGTTTATAACAGTAACCAAACCTACCTATCCTAACTTCATTACCAACGGGAGGCCTCCGCCACCCTGGACCACCAAGAAGAATATTAAATATCTCTGTTCCATGTCATTTACGACGCAATGATTAGTGTCATAAAATTGTCTCAACTACTGTATATGATAGGTATATTAAGCAAATCCAAAAATTGTGGGGCAAAAATTAGCAGTAATACCGACTAGCCTTTGGGTTCATTTATCGGCGGTACAGTTTTTACTATTTATTCACATGGCAAACTTCGAAGAACGATGTTTCTTTTAATGAATGTGCTCATATAAGGAAAATATGTGCATTAATTCACGATGAAAAGCCACCATACACTACTACCTTGAGTTTACAATCACCTCAAATCATAGCAAGCCTCAGAAAAAACAGAGTTAAGTTTGTTTCATAGTGGCAATCAATACCTAGGCTAACAATATTATGACTTACCTGTTCCACCTGTATATTTATTATCTTACTTTTACTTTTTACTTTTATCCTCTTCGCCACTGATCAGCTCGCTAGGCGCCCGGGCGATCGGTCACGTCTCTGTCACATACTGTTGAGTGTTGTGCTGTTTTTTCTTAACGCTGACACGTAAATTGTTGGGCAGCCACAACATTCACTGCCTTTACTACTTACCAGGCATGATTCTTCAATTTGATTGTACATCTCGAGTCCAATTTCCCTAAAAATATTTTCTTTCTTTTGGCGACTTCACACACCATGGCGCATACTTCAGTCTCACTGAAATTTGGTCGTTTGTTCAGGTGGTTGTCCTTCCATCTTTTGTTTACAAACTAATATCACGTGCGTCGCTCTCAGCTGATTTCTCCTTCTCTTGTGATTGGTTGATGATTTTGTTAACTGAGCGCTCATTGGCCAACCAGCTCCTGCACTGACATCTACCTTCCGACAAGAGAACTTAATTTACAGGGTAAACACTAGAGTTATGAAAACTTACGAAAGGCTTACGTAACTGTAATAAAATTTTGAGTATGCTAAATTTACGGTACTGTAAAGATTCGACAATATATGGTACTGTATCATGCTGAAAGACTTAACTTATGAGGTGTTTTGAGTATCCGGCCCCAGTTCTGTAGGATTTATTGCTCTTTGTGGAAAGTAATTTTTTCCTCCCAAAGTCTTGAGTAGGTGGGCACTTCCTTGACACTTGGAATGACACAAGGTAGCTCCTGCAAGATGCACATTATAAAATTGTTTCCACATTATTTCAGATATAAAGATGCGAGTGGATGGACATAAGAAAGATACAGGAGGCCACCCCACACAAACATCTCCCACCACAACACAAGATTAAAGCTGTATAAAACAGGAGGCAGAACAATTCCTCACAACTGTACAATAAGTCAGTACAGTATGAGGATTAGTGAACATCTTCAAAAGAACATTGTAAGCAAGATTAAGGTAAATTGTCAACTCTCCAAGTCTTAAGTTACAAATTTGAAAGGCAAGTTGGTGTTCTAGGAAACAGTGAGAATAAAAAGAACATTCACACAAGTGAATCGTCTCCTGAAAATACCAATTAAGTGGTGCACTGTGTTATATATTGTTTAAATACAGTATGATGAGGGTTGCAATGTTTCTACCTAAACAACTACCTTGTGACTCTTATGCCTGTGTACACTGCTGATAAGCGTTCCATTATATAAATGCGACAAGTGTTTGTCTGCCGTGCTTGTATACTGGTGAGACAAAGTTTTCTTGTAAATATTCCTCATACAATAGTGAGCTCAAGAACCGCATACATGTGCAGAATTATTAATGCAAATTTAGCTGTGAAGAGTGGATAACTTTTTTATACAGTCAAAAGTTACCCAAAAGTGTGTACACTGAGGGAAATATTTTCTTGTATGGAGTGTTGTAAAGTTTGTAAAAGATGGCCCAGTTTATGAATCAAATAGCTGGACATGGTGGCCAAAATAATTATGAGTGTGTACAGTGTGGTGATTTATTTTACAGTAGTGATTCTCTGAAGATGCATACCTGTATGGCCGAACACATTGATGAGATAAATATTAAGTATGAAGAAGTTGATGAAAGTTTTAACAGTAACTTTGATGTGACACAACATGTGACTGTTGATGAGAAAGATATTAAGTGTGAAGAGTTTGATGAAAGTTTTAACAGTAACTATGATGTGACACAACATGTGACTGTTGATGAGAAAGATATTAAGTGTGAAGAGTTTGATGAAAGTTTTAACAGTAACTATGATGTGACACAACATGTGACTGTTGATGAGAAAGATATTAAGTGTGAAGAGTTTGATGAAAGTTTTAACAGTAACTATGATGTAACACGACATGTGACTGTTGATGAGAAAACTCGTAAATGTCTGGAAAGTGGTAAAAGTTATAACCAAAAGGAACAACTAAAGGAACAAATAGTTGTACACACTGGTGAAAAGAATTTTAAGTGTGGAGAGTGTGGTAAAAGTTATTACAGGAAGAGCCATCTGAAGAGCCATATGGTTGTACACACTGGTGAGAAGAATTTTAAGTGTGGAGAGTGTGGTAAAAGTTACCAGGAAGAGCCATCTGAAGAGCCATATGGTTGTACACACTGGTGAGAAGAATTTTAAGTGTGGAGAGTGTGGTAAAAGTTATTCCAGAAAGGGCGAACTGAAGAGCCATATGGTTGTACACACTGGTGAGAAGAATTTTAAGTGTGAAGAGTGTGGTAAAAGTTATTCCGAAAGAGCATCTGAAGAAGCATATGGTTGTACACACTGGTGAGAAGAATTTTAAGTGTGGAGAGTGTGGTAAAAGTTATCCCAGAAAGAACGACCTGAAGAGCCATATGGTTGTACACACTGGTGAGAAGAATTTTAAGTGTGAAGAGTGTGGTAAAAGTTATTACACGAAGATCCATCTGAAGAGCCATATGGTTGTACACACTGGTGAGAAGAATTTTAAGTGTGGAGAGTGTGGTAAAAGTTATCACAGAAAGAGCGACTGAAGAGCCATATGGTTGTACACACTGGTGAGAAGAATTTTAAGTGTGAAGAGTGTGGTAAAAGTTATTCCGTAAAGCGCTATCTGAAGAAGCATATGGTTGTACACACTGGTGAGAAGAATTTTAAGTGTGAAGTGTGTGGTAAAAGTTATTACACGAAGATCCATCTGAAGAACCATATGGTTGTACACACTGGTGAGAAGAATTTTAAGTGTGGAGAGTGTGGTAAAAGTTATTACATGAAGATCCATCTGAAGAGCCATATGGTTGTACACACTGGTGAGAAGAATTTTAAGTGTGAAGTGTGTGGTAAAAGTTGTTCCAGAAAGAACGACCTGAAGAGCCATATGGTTGTACACACTGGTGAGAAGAATTTTAAGTGTGGAGAGTGTGGTAAAAGTTGTTCCAGAAAGAACGACCTGAAGAGCCATATGGTTGTACACACTGGTGAGAAGAATTTTAAGTGTGGAGAGTGTGGTAAAAGTTATTTCACAAAATCCCATCTGAAGAGCCATATGGTTGTACACACTGGTGAGAAGAATTTTAAGTGTGAAGTGTGTGGTAAAAGTTATTCCGTAAAGCGCTATCTGAAGAAGCATATGGTTGTACACACTGGTGAGAAGAATTTTAAGTGTGGAGAGTGTGGTAAAAGTTATTTCACAAAAACCCATCTGAAGAGCCATATGGTTGTACACACTGGTGAGAAGAATTTTAAGTGTGAAGTGTGTGGTAAAAGTTTTTCCAGAAAAGGTGAACTGACGAAACATATGTCTTTACACACTGGTGAGAAGAATCTTACATGAAAGTTGTGGGGAAAGATCTTACAGAAAATGATGTGGAAAACTGTATGGTCTTGCATGCTGGTAGGAACTATTTCAAGTATAAATCCTATAATCGATTATAACATGCTCTTCAAATTTCCTGGGGTTAGGTTCTCAAAATGGCTACGAATAACATTTGCTGACCCTGGGGGAGGGGGCGGTACATTTATACTGTACTCATGTGCAAAGAAATTTATATTTCCTTTATATGTTTGCCTTTACGACAAAAACCTGGAACGTCAATGTGGCATTTAAAAACTCATGCACTGTTAAACAAATGTTAAACAAGAACTCCCCCAACAAGCATTTATAAGGTTTCTTGCAAGGAATGTAATATGTTTTACTTAGGCCAGACAGGTAAAGATCTTGTAACTAGACTTAAACAACATAAATATACCGTAGTGTTAGGACAGGCCAGGAATCCAATGCTCTGTTTGTTTATTTGAGGGATAATAAGCATTGCATTGACTGGGATAATGCCTCCTCATATTACCTTGTAATTCAATTGACAGTAGGAACATTATAGAATCCAGTCTCATTAAACATACCGAATCCGTCAACATGAATTTGAGTAATGGTATGTACAAACTGGATAATTTCGTAATTAAGAAGATTTGTAACCAGGTGAGAAGGTTGGGTCATCTTACCATCTGACCTGACTACCGACTGCTGCGGTGCTTTTTGAAGATTAGTGGGGTCATTACCTAATACCTGACCATTGTGGACTTCATCTCACCCTCCTATGTATATACAGGGTGTCCCATAGGTTTCCATACAACGTATCACCAACGCCATTACAAGCATAACTCCAGCTGTGCTTGAACGTGTTCTTCAGCAGTGGAGGACACACATTGAAGAGTGTTTTCAACAGAATGGTAGTCATGTAGAGCATATTATATAAATAAAAGTGGATTTTCATATAAAATTTATTTTTCCTCTGTATGGAAATTTATGGGACACCCTGTATATATATATATATATATATATATATATATATATATATATATATATATATATATATATATATATATATATATATATATATATATATATATATATATATATACATATATATATATATATATATATATATATATATATATATATATATATATATATATATATATATATATATAAATATATATCTATATATGCTGATAACCACAAGGAAAGAAGAAAACACGAAGTTCCCAAGCGCTTTCGTGTAATTCACATCTTCAGGGGTGAGTACAGACTAGAGAGAGTAATACAAATCAAGGTGTATATATACAGAGGAGGGTGAGACCAGGTCCACAATGGTCAGGTATTAGGTAATGACCCTACTAATCTTTAAATAGCACACAACGGTTGGTGGTCAGGTCAGATGGTCAAGTGACCCGGCCTTCTCACCTGATCACAAATCTTCTTAATTACAAAATTGTCCAGCTTGTACATGCCGTTACTCAAATTCATGTTGAATGCTTCGGTATGTTTAATAAGACTAGATTCTATGATGTAAGACGTCTGGTGCCCATCAGGGTAACCAACATTTTCGTTGTTCTTCCGAGGAAGACCCATCCATGTGTATGTTTTTTACCAGTATGCTTTATAAGGAATAAATTAATTAAGACATGTTATGGTTTCACCCTTCTTTACCCTTATCGATCTGGTCAATGGAAAACCTAACCCAATGCCTAGTCCACTCTGCACGCTACCTAACGAGCTACATGCTGTCCAGAGGGGGTCTGGTGGCAGCGACCCTTAGAAATTAAGATTAGAGTTAAGTTATCCCCTTAGACTTAGTGACCCCAGAATCTGGCAGTATAACCATGCCTTAACCTGTGTTCTTCTCGGGATGATGCACCACCTGCATCTTCACTGATGTCATCGTCTTCTAACATCTCGTCGGCGGTCACCTCAGGATCTCTTATCACCTCCATAATGTCGTCGTTGGTGGTCTCGGAGAAGCCTGCAGCTGTAACACTCTGCACAGCTTCTCTTGCAAGGTCCACTGCCACTGCAACAGACTGAACCTCACCAGTCACAGGTTGACTCTACCTCCCACCTGGGATACCTTACAACACATGCTGCCATGCATGACGAATTGTTGCCACAGACAGCTGCCCCCATGCCTCCACCAAGAAATCAACAGCTTTCTTGACGATGAATTTCTTCCAAAACTGTTTGACGTGAACTTCTTGATCCGCCAACTCTTGTTCCTCGTCCTCGTCACTCTAGCTATCGGTGTCACCCAGGTTACGCAACTCATCCTTGGTGTTGGTACAGTCGTTCAGGAGCTTAAACTTCTTTGTAGAGAATGCAGCCTTAACATTGCATATCAACTCCTGGTCCATGGGCTGGATTAACGATGTAGTGTTGGGAGGAAGGAAAACCACTTTTACATTGGGGTGACAATCCAACAGTATGGGCGAGTGTCCTGGTGTGTTGTCAAGGAGCAACAAAATGTTGAATGGAACATTCTGTTGCTCGCAGAATTTTTTGACATCAGGAATGAAACAGTCGTCAAACCAGGAGAGGGACAGAGCAGTGAACATCCACGCCTTACGAGCGGTTAGCCAGTGGACATTTAACTTGGTCATGTCCATGTTCTTGTAGGCGTGCGGCTTGCGTGCTGTGTGGATCACCGATAACTTGAGCTTACAGGTACCGGAGTTGTCGTAGGAGGCACTTGAAGTGTGTGCTCGAGAGTACGTTGTGTCTCTAAGAACAAGCACATACGAAGCTGTATCATTTGTTTCGGCTGTGATAAACTTGACAAGTCAACCATTGTTGCGTAGTCTTGCCAACGTCGACGCCATTCCCGAAACATCTGATAAGAAGCGTCAGACATCAGAGAGGGAGGCGTCTGTACTGCAGCCTTTTGAGGTGTTGTTGATCCGACTCTGGGAAATGAGGTACCAGTACCTCTAGTCGCATCAACGTCAGTAGTAGCAGACGAATCTTGTACGGTAGATCGTTGTGGGGAGGCTAACAGAGAAATCAAGACTTCAAATCTGGCTTGATCTTCCCTTCTTCTCAGGTCATCCTCACTTCTACGTATGTCTTCTAGTTCTCTGCGTCGTTGTTCCTCTTTGTGGCGCCGTCTTTCAGACTTATTGTACCGAATTTCTTCCTCTTCTCTCCTTGCAATATCGTCCTGGCGTCGAGAAGTTTCCATCCACTTTATCAGTTGAAGGAGATCTGTGGACGCATGCATTGCAGGAGAGCTGGCTCGCGACGAGCGAGGAGATTCTGTGGGTGACTTGGCGTTGTCACTGTGGGGAGAGTGGGGCCTGAGCGTGAGTGGGGAGAGGTCTCCCACACTAAAACTCGTAACCCCATTGTCCAGGGTATCATTTTGATCCCTGTGAGACATGCTGACTGCTTCTGTACTCTATCTGTGCAAAAGACCAGGTCAGCCCCTTGTAATCTATGCACAGAATTACAGAAGTCTACAGTAAGTCACAAGAATTTAATATAAGGTGAATGCGTGTGTGTGTCTTGCGGGTTGCCGGGAGAGACTTGGCGCGCTGCCAGACGTAGGAGCAACTGGGCAGCGTCGAGCGCTGGTCGGTTAGTTACCCTCAGACCAGAGACGGGAGAGCACGTACTGTCGGGCCGCTCCCTTAGTCATCTGACCGCAACTTGCACTGACAATTATGATTGAAATACACAACACAGCACTTCACAAAACACTTCACTTCACAGCACAGCACTGTACACAGCATAGCACTTCACAACACTAAGTCTAGAGGCTTGTAATAGTCTTGCTGTCGATCGTGAAGCTGAAGACGAGACGCCATTAACAGAGTCTGGGCGGGAAGGCTTTGTCCACTGTATCTCACTGAGAAATAATCACTGCGCCATCTGACGTTCATCTTGAATACCCACAAAATGTTCTATACTACTGAGGGTATATACAAACACTTGTTATCTTAAAAGTAGGTTCTATTCTCGTACGGGAGATATATCTATACAGAGGGACCCAGGAGTTCGCTTCCACACCACAAGACTCTGTCTTCACTCCTCTATCTATCTATGTATTACTGCGCGCTGGGATGTACAGATGCCAGCATTCACAAGCTGAAAACAAACAATGTAAATATGATAATTTATATACATAATATGGTGCACAATAAATGGAATATTACATAGAATTAATACATGTTCTGTAATACTTTACTATACATAATTAATGGAGTAATATAAGAGTAATATAATAATACACAGCTGAAGGTACTACTTTGTGTCCATATCATACACTTAAGGTGACGGCCAAGTCAAAAGGAATGATTGAAACCTGCCTTTTGACACATTCAATATTTATTGATGTGGTCAAAACATGGTGATCCATCTGATACATAATTAGTTAGTCTCACACAATTTTATCTTAATTACAATTTATTAAACATAGTGACATAACAAAAAGTTCATAACTATTAATCTTAGTTATGCTTCATTCTGCATTGTCTTATTACTCCTGAAAGGCAGAAACGAGTAGGCATAATTAGTCAAAATATTTCAGTACTGAGGGGTATGTCATCACTTAGGCTGTACATACAAGTGCGAGTCCATGCTGATTAGTATGGTGTTCCAAGAGACAACAGTACTGCGCAAATTGTCCCAGCACAAATTCTCGGACAGGATTGTGAGTCGGTGTTCACCAGTGCGAGCAGAGGGCTGGCCTTCACAGCATCACTAGAGAGGGTGATCCTTCTCATGGCGGGGTGTGAAGCACCATCTACCCGCCGAAGACAGTCCACTCAGAGAACCAGGACTTGTCTGTAAACACTTCTACATCTGGCGAGGTCACAGCTCGAAAGATTTAATGACAACACATACCAGCACTGTAGCTGAAGACAGTGGCGATAACACTATGTTTAAAGCTATTCAGCGTGTTCGAGTTAATTTCTAAACCAATGTTTACCTATCTCGAGCATAAATTTAAATTTTCTAATTTAAAGCCATAGTTACGAGTTCGCTCCTGGTTAGATAGCTTGAGTACCACCTTTGTAATATCACGTTTGTTTAGCCCTGATTTCCATTTATACACCTCGATCATATCGCCCCTCACTCTACGTCTCTCGCAGGAGGCGCAAATTAAGATGCTTCAACCTGTCTCTGTATTCAAGGTTCCTAATGCCCAGGATTAGTCTTGGCATCCTCCTCTGTACACTTTCTTAGGATTCCTTATCCATTCTATAGTACGGTGACCAGAACGAAACTGCGTAAACCATGTGAGGTCTCACAGGTGCAAGATATAGTTTTAGGATAACCCACAATGAAAACTCTATACAGTACTATATTATTCTTATTTTGGGTAATTCACAAGAACACTGCTACAACCAGAAGCAGTTGATCGATTGTG